TCGAGGCCCGGTTACAACAGAGTGATCAAGATGTGATGGCTCACAGTCAAGAAACCACTCAGTTTCATGCACAACTTTAGGATGCAAAGGCTAGGTGGGCTGAATTTCAGGATGCTGCTCTTGCTGCTATCGAGCGCGAGTCTGCCCTCATTAAACAAGCAAATAATTTGGAGGCAGCTTTGAACTCCAAATCTGAAGAGGCTACTACTGCCGAGGAGAAGCGGGCTCGGATGGAAGATAAAAATAAGAAGATCATGTATCAAAATAAGGTTCACATAACCACTATCCGTTATCTCGATCTTAGCCTTAGTGCCATGAGATCCGAGTGGGATGGACTTTTGATCGAGGTTGATAGGCTCAAAGCAAAACTTCAACACCAAGGGGATTCCTTCATCATTGAAAATACACATTCTATGTACCATATGAGGAGGAAAACCTTGGAAGAGGCCAAAGCGAGCGTTATTGATATCGACGAGGAGATCGCCAAAGCCCGAACAATGAAGTTAACTGCTCGAGAGCGCCTCACGGCTCAGCCTAATGAGACTGGCTCTTCTAGTTCTGGTTTCGAGTTCTCAGGAACTGGGAGGAGCTTGAAGAGAATAACGATGAAGGCCAAGATCATGCGCTGGCGGCAGATCCGCCTACTTCTCCCGTGGGGTGTAGATGCTTCTCTTCCCCTGAGTTCCGGTGGCGATGTAGTTTAGCGTTTTTGCTTTCTTTTCCTTTGTTGTTTTCCTTTTGTATTTTTGTACTTATGCTGCTTGCTATGTTTGATAAATAAAAATACTTTTTATTTAAACATTGCGCAAAGTTTATTCTTTTTGCATCAAATTAGGCAAGACTTCAGGTGTATTTTCTCCTGATAGCATTTGGGTTCCGGGAATAAACTCTTCCGGAAGTGACCCTTTACTGTGAGGGTTTCATAAGAGAGGGACCTCTTATGTTTATAGTGCTCTTGAAGATGACGTCGCCTGTTCATTATGTCACTAGCATTTGAAGTTCTTAGTTAACTTTCAAATGATAAAATCAATTCATCATTTGGACAAGTAACAAGATAAAAATAAAAGGACTTCATTTTATTCCTTATATCTTCAAAAGTACATAAACCTTCGTTTGCTGAAAGAAAAGAAATTGCCAATACATATAGCTAATTTGTACAACTTGTTTATACGGGGCTATCTGTACAGTCCCCGATCCCGATGAGAAATTATTGTTCCCGGGTCTCGCAGTCCCGGTTTTCATGGCAATCAGGTTTCCTTTTTCTCATACTATTCCCTCCAGTGTTCTAATGTGAAGAATGCGAATTGGAACATTTGAAGTCTTGCCCCTTTGAGGAAAAAACACTAGTAAATGGTTGAATAATCTTTGGTTCGATGGCAAGCTTCGTTTCCTGTTAGGAACTTTGCCATCGAGCCAAAGATTATCTAACCATCCCCTAGTGGCTTGTTGTTTTAGTGCCTTGTCTTTTAAAGGTCTTAACATTGCTGATGATGCTCCTTTTGTAGTATGCTTTCAGTTGTTGCCTCATTAAAAACCTTACCAGAAAACCTAATTGGGACAAAAACTAGACGAAAGGAAAAATAGTACAGCACATACTTTCAGTATAAGCAGGATCCATCAGCAGCAATAACTTTTGAGGTGAGTCACGTTCTAGTTGCTCGGCAATTTGACTCCGTCTTGGTTCTCTAGTTCATATGACCCTTTCCCGGTGACAGTTGAAACTCGATAGGGGCCTTCCCATATCGGACCCAGCTTTCCTGTGTTGAGTTTCCGGGTGTTCTGAGTCACTTTCCTCAAAACCAAATCACCCACTTTAAAGTAGCGGAGATTGGACCTCCGGTTATAGTATCTTTCCATTCTTTATTTCTGGGCCACCATCCTTATGTGCGCCAAGTCCCTGCATTTGTCAAGCAGCTCCACTTTGACCAGCAACACTCTCTTATTTGCTTATTCGTCCACCCAAAAGTATCGTAAGTTCGGTTCTCCTACTTCCACCGGGATCAGAGCTTCTGCACCGTATACGAGAGATAAAGGTTTCTCTCCCGTGCTCAACTTGGCCGTCGTATGGTATGCCCACAACACTCCCGATAACTCTTTAGGTTACTTGCCTTTGGCTGCTTCCAATCTCTTTTTCAGGTTTTGAATAATCACCTTATTGGTTGATTCCACCTGCCCATTTGTGCTCGGACGGTATAGCGAAGATGTGATTCTTTTAATTTTTAGGTCTTCAAGAAATTTTGTGACCTAGGAGCCTATGAACTGTGGCCTGTTGTCGGAGGCAATCTCCTTCGGTATTCCGAACTAGAAAATTATGTTTTCCCATAGGAAATAGACCATTTCGTGCTCATCGATTTTTTTGTAAGGACCTGGTTCAACCCATTTAGAAGTAATCAGTTAAAATTAAAAGAAATCTTACTTTCCCGGAACCTGGTGGCAGTGACCCAACTATATCTATCCCCCATTTCATGAACGGCCATGGGGACAATAACGAATGCAGTAGTTCTGCCGGCTGGTATACCAATGGTGTATGGCGCTGACACTTGTTGCATTTCTGAACGAATGCATTCGCGTCTTGTTCTATCAGAGGCCAATAGTATCCTTCTCTAACTAATTTAGCACCAACTAATTTGCACCGGAATGATTCCCACATATCCCTTTATGAACCTCTCTCATGATGTAATCTTCCTCCGAGACTCCTAAACACCCGGCCAACGGGCCTTGGAACGACCTTCTGTATAGTTGTACCCCATTCCCCCAGAAGCTGTAACGAGCTTCTTTGGTGCGGAGTGCCCGAGATGCCTTCGGGTCTTCGGGTAGCTTGTCATGTTGAAGATAATCGATGATCTAATTCCTCTAGTCCTAGACTAGGCTGGTTGTATTTACTTCGCAATAACTGTCCACATCCAGTACCGAATGCATGATCTGTACGACTGTACCGGAATCTGATCCCTTCATCTCTATGGACGACCCCAAGTTGGCCAATGCATCTGCTTGTATGTTTTCTTCTCTCGGGATATTGGTGATCACTCCTTGAACCACAGGAGCAAAGTTTGAACTTTAATCATACATTATTGCATGCATTCCTCATTTGTGTCAAAGATCCCATAAACTTGGTTTACCACCAGCTACGAATCACATTTGATTTCTATGACCTCGGAGCCAAGTCCCTGGGCCAATTCGAGTCCTGCCATCAATGCCTCATACTCGGATTCATTGTTAGTTAAAGGAACACTTTTTATGGCCTGCCTCACGGTTTCTTCTGAAGGCATGATTAGGACCACCCCGAGCCTGGAACCTTTCACATTGGAAGCTCTATCCGTGAATAGGGTCCAAACTCCTGATGTTGTTTCCGACACCATCACTGCTTCTTTTACAGCTAGAGGTAATAACCCTGGACTGAAATCGTCCACAAAGTCAGCCAAAACTTGTGACTTGATCGCAGTCCTAGGCTTATACTCAATATCAAATTCACTAATTTCAACTGCCCATTTGGCCAGCCTATCTGACAACTCATGATTGTGAAGGACATTTCGCAGGGGAAAGGTTGTCACCACGGCTATAGGGTGGCACTGAAAATAAGGCCTAAGCTTTGGAGAGGCGACTACGAGAGCTAAGGCCAATTTTTTGAGGTGCGGATAATGAGTTTCCGCTCCCGACAATATTTTCCTAACATAATAGATAGGAGATTGCGTACTTTCATCCTCCCGGACTAGAACGACACTTACCGCTACCTCCGAGACTACTAAGTATATTAGCAATTGTTTGCCTTCCTCTGGTTTTGATAGTAATGGAGAGCTCGATAGATATCGTTTCAGGTTTTTTAAGGCCTGTTGGCATTCTAGAGACCATTCAAAGTTGTTCTTCTTCAGAAGTGAGAAGAAGTGATGATATTTTTCCGAAGACCGAGAAATAAACATGCTTAGAGCAGCCAGTCTTCCGGTTAGCCTTTTGACTTCTTTCACGCTTGTCAGCTGGTCTGGGATGTCCTTGATGGCCTTGATCACATCGGGATTGACCTTGATCCCTTTTTATGACACCAGGAAATCCAAGAATTTATCGGAGCTAGCTCTGAATGCGCATTTTTCAGGGTTGAGCTTCATGTTGTGCTTCCTTAGGATATCGATGGTTTCTTGGAGGTATTTTAAATGGTCACCTGCATTCAAAGACTTGACCAACATATCATCTATGTATACTTCCATTGTTTTACCTATCTTTTTTTTCGAACACCTTGTTCACGAGCCTCTGATAAGTGGCTCCGGCGTGTTTGAGCCCGAAGGGCATCACATTATAACAATATGTGCCAAAGTTCGTTATGAATCCTTTCCTGATCCTCCAGGTTCATCTTAATTTGATTTTACCCCAAATAGGCATCAAAGTAACTCATTAACTTGTGCCCGGTCGTGGCGTCGATCATTTGATCGATATTTAGCAATGGGAACGAGTCTTTCGGGCACGCCTTATTCAATCCTAATAATCTACGCATATTCAAAATTTATTATTCTTTTTCGGAACTACAGCAACATTAGCTAGCCAATAGGGATACTTTACCTCCCGGATTGAGCCAATGTCAAGTAACTAAGTTGGCTCTTCTTTGACAAACCTGTTCCTGACCTCGGCTATTGGGCATTTCTTCTGCCTTACCGAAGGGATGCTTGGGTTCAGGCTTATCTTGTGCATGGCCACCTCTAGTGGGAGACTTATCATATCCGCGTGTGACCATGCGAAACAATTAACATTAGTTTGAAGGAAATCAATAAATCCTAACCTGAGCTCGGGGTTTAGTCCTGTCCCCAAGTGAAATTTCCTCCGGTACCTGAGCTCGGGGTTTAGTCCTAGGAATTTTTGAACAAAGCCACTTATTCGAGTTCTTCTGTCATCGACTTGGTCACGTCTATTTCCTCCGGTACCTGAAAATATCTTAGCACCTGGTAGGATTCCGATGACTCCTCCCCTTTGTCATCTTGGTTCGGTTTGGCGGTAGGCGTCGGTTCCTGTAATTGTTATGCGTTGAGTTCCTTCCCTTTACTCTTGGAAACCGATACCGCGTTCATTTCCCTTGCTGCCGGTTGATCCTCTCTTATTTGTTTTATTCCCTCTGGAGTCAGGATTTTCAACATTTGGTGATATGTTGATGGAATGGCTTTCATCTCATGTAACCATGGTCTGCCGAGAATTATGTTGTAGCCCATGTCACCGTCCACAACTTCAAATAAAGTGATCTTTGTGACCCCTTCGGCATTAGTAGACAGCAAGATCTCCCCTCTGGTTGTCACACTTGCTAAGTTGAACCCGACGAGGAGCTTTGTTGCCTGAATGATGCTTCCAGTTAGCTTGGCTTGTTCCAGAACTCTCTATTGAATTATATTGGTTGAACTTCCTGGGTCAATCAAAACACGTTTAATCTTGAAATCTAAGACGTTAAGAGAAATTACTAGGGCATCGTTGTGCGGCAGAAGAAGTCTATCGGCGTCTTCTTTCGTGAAGGAGATGTCATCCTCGGCGACTTCCTGGAGCCTCTTGCTATGAGTCATCGATACCTTTGTCTTCTCGGTTGCCGAGAAAGTTACATCGTTAATCTCGTCCCCCCCGAAAAATCATTTTGATAGTTAGTCGAAGAGAGTTTTCCCCCATCTTCTAGGATTCCGCATTATCTCGGCTGCAGCCGTAATTGTTCTTAGCCCAGCCGCTTAAAAATTCCTTGAGATGGTTGTTCTTCAATAGAGTTGTCACCCCCTTGTGCAAATGTCAGTAGTCCCAGTTCGGTGGCATTAGTACCATGATATTCGCACCATAAATTAGGATCCCTCTAGCTGGGATTGGATCTCATTAGCCTCAAGAACCGTGCTTCCTTGATGTTTCTCATTGCCGATGCTAGCTCCACTATACAAACATTGAAATTATATCCTAACAGCCTAGGATAAGTGGAATCCCGGGAACCCAACACCTCTTTGTTCTGCAATGACCTATTGTTCCGGCTGCGGTCAGTTCTTCTTTCGGTAGTGAACCTATCCGCTAACCGGAACCCTTTGTCGCCGCATCCTTCGGCCCTTTCGTAGGGCACAAAGCGGCCCTTACAAGATTGCCAATCCGTATCAAAATTATCTTTTGATTTATCCCTGTTCTTTTCTCGATCCCGACCCTTAGTTGATGCCGGGAACCCGAGCTAGTCATCTTTTATCCTTATCTTTGATTCATAACAGTTATGGACCTCCGCTCATGTCGTTACTTGGAACTCCAACAAGCTTTCTTTCAGCTTCTGGGAGGCGTCATAGCTTCTTGGGTTCAACCTCTTAGTAAATGCCTAAGCTTCATATTCATCTGGCACAACCGGTAACAACATCCTTTCTTTCTAGAACCTAATCACAAACTCACACAACAATTCGGACTCTCCTTGCGAAATTTTGAATATGTCCGCCTTCTGGGCCTGGACCTTCATGGCCCCAGCATGGGCCTTAATAAAAGAATCTATGAGCATCTCAAACGAATCTATTGAGTGTTCGGGTAAGAGTGAATATCATGTTAAGGCCCCTTTAGTGAGGGTTTCTCCGAATTTCTTCAACAGGACCGACTCAATTTCATGTTGACTCAAGTCATTTCCTTTTACCTCCATTGTATAAGTTGTGATGTGCTCATGAGGGTCTGAAGTCTCATTATACTTCGGTATGTCCAGTATTTTGAACCGTTTCAGAATCAATTCTGGTGTTGCGCTCGGTTTGAACGGCATTTGGGTGTACTTCTTCGAGTCCGGGCCCTTCGACACTAATGGTGCGCCCAGAATTTGGGTCATTCGAGCGTGGAACTCTTTCGTATTCTGATCCATCTGCCCATTCCTTTCCCTCATGAACCTTATGAGTTTAGTTTTAAAAGGATCATTGTCGTTGTCATTACCGGATCCGCTGGCGATACCCCTGACTCCGTCGAAGCCGACCTCACCCCTCGGGGTGTTGTTATCAACTCTTTGAGCTGTTTGATTTGCGGGAGTGCTGGGAGGAACATGGCCTCTTCCATTCGCGTTTTTGGAAGCGCCTGGCAACGCCTGCTTTACTTCCGTCATAGCCTGGTCTTACCTTGAGAGATGGCCCATAATGGCATTTTGCTGCTCTCTCAAGATCCTTACTGTTTCCGCAACGTGCTCACCCTCAACGTCATCAGGAGTTATCTCCCGCACATGTCGGGGATACCGCCCTCCATGTACTGAAGTTGCTACGCCATCCTCGTTGCGGGTGTCACTGATCGAATCCTCATGTTGAGGCAGATTTTCATGTGCCTCAACGTTGTGTGTGATATTGACATCATTAGCGGCCATTTTTTCGATTTTTGCTATGAAAAAAAGAATCAAACAAGTTAGTAATAGATGCAAGGATCAACTCAGTTATGCAACTGTCTAAGCTCCACGGTGGGCGTCAAACTATTTACCCGTAAAACAGTACAGTTGAATTTGTTGCGTGATTTATAAAGAAACGAACTGATTTGATCCAAAAATGATAAATAAATTAAATAAAAAATATAAGACTTAGTATTAAAATCGAAATAAACAGCAGGTAGCCTGGTTCTGGGAGCAACACTTCCAAAGACAGCGATAAGCACTATATTAGACAGAAAATAAAGTATTGTTTAGCTTGAGAATAATGTGTAGCATAAGTTTTGCCAGAGATTTCGTGTCCTACAATTGTTGTTGAATTCCCTTTTTATAGCTATACCTAGAGAACAAGGTCCTAGAATCAAGTCTCTCTTAAATGACAATAATGAGGGCCATTGATGAATGTGTAACGGCAGGCCATGAATGCCAAAATTCTCTGTAACGGCTGGATATTTAATACTGAGGAATATTCTTCATTAAATGTCATCTGGTGACAAACATTCATTTGTCTCCATTGACTATGTTCCCTTCGGGAGCTACCCGATGCCACCTGAAGTCGTTCTCCTCGGTCTTGGTTCCCACTCGCTTCATCTTTCGTCTGCCTCTGATTTCACGTGTCATGTAATCATTTGAGTATTTAATATAAATCAATTTTACCCTATACATAATATTAGTTCAAAAGTTTAACAAAGGATAAATTTTTGTAAAAAAATTTCATAGGGCCACTCACACGTGCAAAAACTACAATTGCTTCAGTGTATAGCTTTGTCACTATGAGGTCGTTTGGTTGCTTGTTAGAAAGGGAATTACCATATATTAAAATTAGTATAGCTAATACTATTTTTGGTAGCTTTTTAGTTGAATAAAATTGACTACACCAAGGGTATTTGGTTATTGTTTTACAATTCCAAAAATAAATAGGTATAAGTTATGAGCTAATTTATGTATTATATATACAGAGTAAAAGATGAAATAACTAATCGATGTATAAGTAATTATTGCATTATTTATTAATACATAATAGTCTTGGGATTTGATCCATGTTCCTCTAGGTAAATAACTGAGCATTCAACCAAGTGCACAATTTAGTCATTTTAGAGCATGGATCCCATCAGATAATATTAGACCAATTTTAAAAAATATGTATATAAAATACCTAATTTACGGAGAGAGCATGGGTTCACGTGCCCATTATATTTGCCTATAAATCCGCCCATGTTTACATTACTAATACCAGCATTAGGGGTGTACAAATAAAACCGAAAAATCGCACCAACCCAATAATCCGAGTCAAATCGAGAAAAAAAACCCGACTATGATTAAGTGTTGGAAAAATAACTCGACCATATTTGGTTTGGTTTGGTTTGATTTTAACTAATAAAGTCAAACCGAAATCAAACCAACCTGGTATTATATGTATAGAAATTTTAAATATATTTAATACATAAAAATATTTATTATAGTGTAGTTTATAAATATTTCTTAAGTTTTTTCATAGTTTTATCTTTTAACGTATTATTTCAAGTTTGGACTTATAATTTTTGGATGCTCCAATAAGTTTTATAGTCCATAAATGTTAGTAACTCAAATAAATTCTAAACCAAAATCAAGTCAATAGTAATGCTAATAAAAGACATTTAATTCAATTATACTATGAATGAAAATAGTGTTGGATATCTATTATATAGTTTTTTCATGGTTTAGATAAAATTCATAACTTATTTTTCTTTTAGTGTTTAGTCATGTAGATAATAGTTCTTATTAGTCGTACTTATTTTAGCAACTTATTAGTAATTTTAAATTATGTTTGTTTTCATTATGGCTTATTAATAATATTTATTTTATGCAATTTTATTATCTTTATTGTTGAATATTTTAGTACAATGCCACGACTCATCTCATATTTATGTTATTTTATTGAAAAATACCGTATATAGTTATGTCTTACTAGGATTAAAGAAATATTTGGAACACAATTTTATGTTTTGTGATATGAAGACTTTATGAAACAAAAACCTGAAAAACCCGAGAAAAATCGAGATTAAAAAATCTGACTTTTATTGGTTTGGTTTGGTTTGATCTTTAGATTTAATAACCCGATATAATTGATTTGGTTTGATAATTAAAAAATCTGAACCAACCCGAACCAAATGAGCCCCATCTGTAGTGGAAATGGCGTGGAGTGGCCAGTTTTTAAGATGCTATTTAGTATTTGGCCAACAATTTCAATGCTGAGCATATATAGCCACTACTTTGTTATAATTAATATGAATAGACGTTTTTACCCTTTCTTTATCTCTTTTCTTTTCAATCCTTTTTCATTATCAAAATATCAAAAACCCCTCTTCTCTCCCGTACTTAAGCTCTCGTTTCTTCTCTGAAAATTTGGGTACTCAAAATCAATTGGGTGTTCAAAATATTTGTTGGAAAATACCTTTGTGAGTTGATTCTACAGATTTGGACCATTTGTGATCTAATTTGCTAGGGTTTGTCAAAAATTTGTGAAGCCCATTTTGGAGAAGACGACCACCTAGGCTTTGTTGATTTCGTGAAAATTGAATCAAATTAGCTACTGGAATTTGTTTGTACTGCTATTGGGAAGCTCTATTCCTTAATTGAGTTTGTTTTGTGGGGATTAAACGAGAATCAAATTCAGTTTTTGAAATGTCCTTAACTTCTGGACATTAAGCGAAACAAGTAAACGTTAGGACATAATTTTCTAAACGTCCTGAAATATTGAACTAAGAATCTAATAATGAGGACAAACGTTTCTGAAATGTCCTTAACTTCTGGACATTAAGCAAAACAAGTAAATGTTAGGACATAATTTTTTAAACGTCCTGAAATATTGAACTAGGAATCTAATATTGAGGACAAACGTTTCTGAAATATCTTTAACTTCTGGACATTAAGCGAACAATGTCCTTAATATTTGCACAATACTCATGAAGTTAAGGACAATATGTCCTTAACATTTACACTGCACACATGAAGTTAAGGACACCATGTCCTTAACATTTACACTGCACATATGAAGTTAAGGACATAATGTCCTAAAGTTTAACAACATAAGGTGCAAATACATGACACTTTGTCCTTAATATTTACACAGCACTCATGAAGTTAAGGACACTGTGTCCTTAATATTTACACAACACTCATGAAGTTAAG